GGCCCGCTCAGGCGTGCATCCCACACATCTGCGTTGTAACTGTGGCTGACCTCTTCGTTCCACCAAGTCCCAAAGTTCCACAATCTCCTTGAATTCCCCCCTCCATCCCGCGTTTGACCAGTCGATTGCACCAGGTGAAACCTGTCTTGGAGACGGATCAACACCGGTTTCGAAACAGTTAATAGTCGGATGGTTGAACTACGGTAGTCTTTGGATGGGATCCAGTACGTGACGTGCTCTGGCTAGCCCAAGGAGCAGAGCCCCGATGGTTTGAGTATTTTCATCCGGCACATGCGCAAAAAGATATGGCCGATTTACAAACCCCGGCCTCCATGGCTCACCCCCCGGCACCGTCCTCCAGATCTCGAGCTCCATCCAAAGGAACAAGATCGAGACCGTCTTTGCGCCGGCGAGATTCTTCCCCGCCATCTTCCTCTCCACCTAGCCTCCCAACCCCCACATTCTCCCCCGATGGACAAACAGACGATGATGATATCGATATCACCGAGGATACCTTATCACCTTTCGACGCGCGCAGGATCACACCTACTCTCCATGCATCTCTCGTTTCGGAAATTCTCTCGCTACGACGGGAGATAGAGAACAAAACCAAGGCCATCGATGGATTAGAAGAGAGCTTGGACGAATCAAGGACGGAAAATGAAACATTGACCGCGAATTTGTCCCAGGCGACCTGGGAAGGTCGCTCGCTGAAACACCAAATCCAACTACTGGAAGGTGGGACGTCATCTGCGATGACCGAGCTAGCTCGGGAGCGCGATGAGGCGGTTGAGAACATCGGCGACGTTCGTAAAAAGCTTGAACAGGCGCAGAAGAAAGCTCGAAGCCGGGAGGAGGAGGTTGAGCGAACCCAGTTACTCTGGAATCGCGATCAAGAGTCCTGGGCGGATGAACGCCGAACCCTGGAACGCAAGGTTCACGTAGTGGAGGGCCGCTTGAAGACCGTTTTGAATGAGGTCGCAGCCACCCGGGAAGTGGCGACTATCCACTCACATTCCCAGCCGAGTGAGAATGGGGACCTTGTTCATGACAAGAATAAAGAAAGTGACTCGGCTAGCGTGGCATCTAGTAGCCTAGGCCGCCGACGCATGAGCGTGACCAGCGTGAGCTCGGAAGAAGTTGAAGAGGCGGCCATTTTCCATAACGTGCGGTACTCGGTTATGAGTATTGCGCCTGGAGCCAAGAATGGTTCAGGGCTGAACCTGGCGGAGGAACTCGACTTCGATGAAGAGGACGAGTTTATTCCGTCTGATGATGAAGATGAACTACCCGCCTCTCCGGAGGCGCTCCCCGAAGAACGTCCAATGGAACGCCCAATGTCAGTTCACTCACAGGGGTCGCATAGTATTTCCGACAAGGCCAGGAAAATCCTGGGACTATCCCTTCAGAGCTCGGACTTACACTCACCCACTGCCATGGAGTTCCGTACCCGGGAACTCGGGCTTGCAAGCCCAGTGAAACTTGACTCGGCGGTCGAGTACCACGATGTTGGCATCCAGTACTCACCTCCTCCATCGCCTAAGATAGAAGCGAAGGTTGTACACGACATTGTTCCCGAGTCCTTGGAAACAGCTTCAGAGCCCGAGAAAGAAACCAACATATCTGAAACGATAGACAGCGCTACGCTCCCCATTGCACCTCAGATGGTTTCCACTTCTTGTCAGACCGTGGATGAACCCTCAAGTCCTCCATGGACGCCCAATGCAGCTGAGTCGCCTCAACCTGTTGAATCCATCCCAGAGCCGGTGCGAATGACATCGGCGTCCACCCAGACCGATGTCGTTTCGGAAACAAATATTGTTCAAAGCGATGATCGTATCAACTTGTCCCCGAATGATGTCCCATCGAAGATAGATATTCCAATGATCGCTATCCATCCACCAGGCTCAGAGCCATCCTCACCTCGGAACAGTGTCGTTCTTCCACCGCAAACCAAAAATATCGGTTGTCAGGCCAACTTCCGGGCAATTGCAGATTGCCGATCCATCGCCATCCAAACTGAGGAAATCCGCATTGATCAACGCCCTGTCAAACTTCCCGCGAGTCTTCTTCCTTCTGCTATTCAAGATGCGTTACCTCGCCCCGAACCTCAGGAGCCCAGCCTCGAGTCTTACACTGTGCCCCCACTTCCGCCACGGTCCGAAAAGCGAAAGCAGAGACCTCTGGTAACAGATCGCTCGATAGATGGTCCCGTGAAGCCTCCTAGAGTATCCAGTCCAGATCATGTGCAGGCCTACCCCGGTAACAACGACAATGGTCCACTCTCCGATGATGCATTGTCCAATATTCGACGACCTTTACGGTCTAGCAGTCTCTTCGCTGGATTTGAACACAACAGCGACGACGAAGGCCTCCATAACGAACGTGATGTCTTCACCGACGATGAGCTTCTCAACCGCCCATTTACTGCATACACTGTCAGCCGTGGCAAGCTCATCACTACGAAATCGAAAACTAGCTTAGACGATATGCCTCTCCCCGAAGTCGACGAGCAGCTGTCTTCCCCGGAGTCAAGACCACCCGACATTGGCCGTTCTCGGGTTCCCCAACGGTCTGGCACGGCGTCCTCGAGTATTCGCCAGCCCGGCATGCGCAAAATGGCCATGATCTCCAGCGGAACTGCCGCGCACCAGAAGCCCCGTGCCCGCAGTCCCAGCGAGCCAAGCCTCGACAGCGGCAGTGCAGGCTCAAGTATCGCACCGCCATTCCCCGTTCCCATCCGTCTAAGCTCGCGCAAGCTCCCGCTCAACGGTAGCGGAAGCGACGGACCTCCAAGTCCTACTCGCTCAGCCGGCAGACAGTTCTCAGACCGCGGTCGCCAATCCGTCATCCGGCGCCCAAGTCTCCGCCGCGTGCGATCTGCTGCAACAACGTCACAGTCGGATATTACCGAGAGACCAGAAACTTGCTCTTCCCCCTCACAATCGATCTCAACCTTTTCCCCGGAGAGCCCCACATACCGACCATACAGATCACCACCCCCGATGCCGTATGATGATATCACAGCACCTCGTGAGCGGTACGGACCCCCAAAGCGCGCCCCCTCGCACCGCGCGACTCCGTCTCAAACCTGGAACCGTGAGCAGCGTGAAAGAAAAGATTCCACCGGCGGTGTGCAGCCGACCAGTGTCGTTGATGCCATTGCTCAGACCATGGTTGGCGAGTGGATGTTTAAATACGTCCGTCGACGCAAATCATTCGGGATGGGCGAACCCAAGGAGAACTGGGAGGGCAAGAACCCCGACGACGTGTCGGCGAATATCACAAACAGTGGTGTGCGACATAAGCGATGGGTCTGGCTCGCCCCGTACGAGGGCTCCATTATGTGGAGTAGTAAACAGCCTACGAGTGGGCCTGCCTTGCTCGGCAAGAGTGGCCGGAAGTGTAAGTCTCAAGGAATTCATTGGAGTGGGTTAACGTGACAGCTAACATGGTATTTCTCCTCATTATAGTCAACATTCAATCCGTCCTAGACGTCAAAGACGACAACCCTATACCTAAAGGCGCCGGCTCTTCACCCCCATTCAACCGCTCCATCCTGGTGCTGACACCACAGCGCGCTCTGAAATTCACAGCGCTAACTATCGAACGCCACTACGTCTGGCTAACGGCCCTCTCCTTCCTCAGTCATTCCTCAATGGGCCTCCAAGAACTAGCAGCCCTACCTCCGGTCCCACAAGAAGAATCCCCAACCCTACCCCACAGCTCCCTCCGCCGAAATCCAATCCGCGACTCCATTCGCGTCGCAAAGGGCCGCCCCCGCCCGATGCCAAAGGGCAAACGCTCCTTTAACAGCGCCGGCGCTCCAGCGCCAGTCCCCGAGATCCCAGGCGGCAGCATCGATCTAGCAGCCGACGCACCACACGTGCCCCGCTTCTCAACCCACAACCGCAAACGCAGCAACACCGCACCCCGCCCAGCTCTCCACGCTCTCCGGAGCTTCTCCAGCGCCGGCACTATGCCATCTTCTCACAGCGGCACCACAGCCGGATCCTCGGAGCTACATTTCCCCGCTATGCAGGCCCCTGTTCTGTCCCCGGGCATTGGCAGCCGCCGCAGCAGTATCAGTCGACGCACTTCCGAAGCAAGTGGTCGTGCTTCCAGTGTGGCCGGCAGCAACATGTTCGATATAGGCACTGTGCGTATGGAGGCTTTTATCGATCACCACGCAGAACAGATCAATCGTCCCCGTGCACCTCCACATCAACGCCATACCCGCAAGACTTCCAGTCAATGGAGTGAAAGGCGGTATGAGTTTGACACGCCTTCGGTTCATGGCAGCGAATTCTCATATCGACCTGAAGATCAATGGCAAGGATTCTAATTCTAGAGTGGATGAGTTTCGCTTACCCTCTTTTCTTACTTATTACTTACCACATTTCTATTCCTTATTTCAAAAACACACCTTTTTGGCGCAGGTCCATCGCCACGTCTTTCCGTGGCTTGTCTGTGTACAACGTCATGGGATATATCTTCTATCTTGTCACTGTCACCTATTCATTTTTATTCTCTACTTTGACTCACCTCGCACATCTACCACCTGTCATTTACCATTTGCCGCTTTCGAGTTGATACCACTTTGATTTGGATACTATTTCTCGTGCAGCGGGAGTGAGAAGGGCGTTTCTTTTTTTTTTGACAATTCACCTATCAACCTAGCAGGTCCTGGACATATGTATTGATCTTTCGTGTTTATATGTCTGAACATAATGTATAAGTTTTGTCATGAGCCAATGAAGCTTTCCGTAGTATCGACTTTCAACCTCCTATATTTTATTCTCTGTTCTATTCATATGCCCAGGTGGTAAGATGGAATCCACTAAGAAAAATGATCAAACTGGAATCGCGGGTATAACGTTCGCTAGCGGAGTAAATACAACGTCGTGACATTCTGTGATGTGCAGGAGGTTTCCCGCAGTGGGCTGATCCCCCAGACCCAAAACACTCATATCTATTTTCTTCATTTTCCAATAGATTATTCACAGCTTCGCGGCATCCTTGACTTCACCAATCTTCAGCTTAGGCGAGTACTTCTTCAGCACGCCTTCGTTGTGATACTAAGCGGTGTTAGTTGTATACTTTGTTTTCAATAGCCGACTCGGCCGATAACCGATCATAACAATAACATTTTGGTACTGGAAGAGAAAAAAAGAAAAAGAAGGGAACACATACTTTCCAGAACTGCTTCGAGGCATCCTTGCCCGCTACACGCTTGAGGATCTTTGCGCCGCCGGGGTGCTCGTCAACAAAGTTGGTTACATCGTAGACATTGCTGTCAATGATGATGTAGAGGCCGGCATCAGCGGTTTTGTGGGAGGCCACTTCGGCAGGGGTGAATGTTTTGGACATTTTTGAGATTTGAGAAGTTGCAAGATGGGAGATGAGAAACCAGAAATCGAAAAAAATAGAAAAATAGAAAAATAGAAAAAGGGACAGTCGGGACTGACGTGACGTATAAATTCCGAGAAAGTCGAGAAAGTCGAGAAAGTCTGGGGGAAAGCGGAGAAACCGAGGTTCAACGGATTTGCCGCGGTTTGAATTGCCCGGGCGGTGATTGGTTGATGGTTTGATGCCTGAGGTGTCTATTTTATACAAGATCTGATCCTATTCAAAACATATTGTACAGGATATCCCCTCTACTCCCGACTTTTCTCCCCAGCTGCCCCCTGCCCCTTGGTCACCTTGCGATCCAACCCTAGACTCTCCAAGTCCTTCTTCTTATAGTAATGCGGCGCAACCTCAACCAACCATTCTGGCTGCAGCGGCATATTACTGCGCATGTACTCCTTGCTGGTAAGCACCAACTCAAAGTAGATGACCCAGCGAGGGTTAACCTCCATAAGTGTACTAGACGGGTGCAAGTACACCGACTGTCCATTCTTGATAGTGCGGTAACTGTCACCGCCGCGCTGGAGTCGCGCCGCATTGGGGAAGAACCCAGCCGTGATGGCCTTCTGGATTGGCTGAATATTCGTAGATCCACAAGTACTGACAGCGACCTCGACGCGGTCGCACAGTTTGGCGAGCTGGTCGCGTACATCGCGCGCCCGCGTCAGACTACGCTGCTGCAGGAAGTTCTCCTTCGCCCAGATCGTGCTGAAATCCGAGTCGACCCATTGGTTCCAGACGTTCAGTAGCGTCAGGTGGTCACCCCCATCTTTGATGGTGAACCGGTTGCGCGCACTGTCCGCGTGGATCTTCTTGTCCTTGGGTCGGAAGAAGAGCGCGCTACCTTCGCCGAGCATCGACACGATCGACAGCACTTCTTCTACACATCCGTATTTGTCGGCGGCAAGGATCGCCTTGGCAAGCATCGGGTCCGTCGGGAACTCGGCCATCTGTCGGCCGACCTTGGTCAGCTCGCCTCGGTCATTGAGTGCTCCGAGCGCGTACAGCTGCTCCAGAGCGCGGATAATGGTTTCCGCTGGCGGTGGGTCCATGAAGTCGAAGTCGAGCAGTTGGTCGATGCCCAGCGACTTCAGCATCAGAATCACTCCGTTCAAGTTGGTACGTTGAATCTCAGGGGTGGTGTTCTCTTCCAGCTCGTTGTAGTACGCCCATTTGGTATACAGGCGGAAACACTTGCCCGGCCCAACACGTCCGGCACGTCCGGCTCGCTGGTTGGCTGAGGCACGCGAACACGGCGTCACGACCAAGCTCTCCATTCCGCTGCGTGGGTTGAACACGTTCTCCTTGACGAACCCGGGATCAATCACGTAGACAATACCATCGATGGTCAAACTAGTTTCAGCGATATTGGTGGCAAGCACCACTTTTCGCGCCTTAGGCGGAGTAGGCTCGAAAATCTTAGTCTGCAGTTCGGACGGCAGGTTGGCATAGATAGGAGCAATAATCATCTCCGGAATCTTACTCCCAAGTTTTCGCGCCGTTTCCTGTAAACTTTGCTCGGCGGCCTCGATTTCTTCTTGTCCAGTCAAGAAGACCAAAATATCCCCAGGACCTTGGGAGACGTGGATCTGAAAGACCGTTGTGATGGCTGCGGCGAGGTAGTTGGCTTCAGGCTGCGAAGTGTAGTGCACGTCAACGGGGTATCGGCGACCAGGAATATTGAAAATGGGCGCATCGTCGAAATACGTCTGGAACTTCTGCGCGTCCATTGTCGCCGAGGAAATGAGCAGCTTCAGGTCAGGGCGTGCCTTGGCAATATCCTTGAGCAAACCACAGGCAATATCTGTTGGCACCGTCCGTTCGTGTGCCTCGTCAATCATCAAGGCCGCGTACTGGCTGAGGTCCGGTTCTGTCAAAAGTTCTCGCAGCAACATTCCATCGGTCATGTACTTGAGAACGGTCTTGTCGCTAGTGTTGTCCTCAAATCGGATGGCATAACCAACTTCATTTCCGATCTTCGTGCCCATTTCATCCGCCACACGAGCAGCAACACTCATGGCAGCCACTCGTCGCGGCTGCGTGCAACCAATCTTGAGGCCATCCTTGGTATAACCGGCCTCGTGGAGGTATTGTGGGAGCTGTGTGGTTTTTCCAGAACCCGTTTCACCAACGATAATCAGAACTTGATACTTTGCCACGGCATCGAGGATCTGTTCACGGAATTGATAGATGGGCAAACTCTTCCGTGTTTCCTCCATCGAGAGGGCTTTCTTCTCTGCCGCATCAACTTGCTCCTTGAACCGCAGCTGTTCCTTCGTCAGTGGTTTTTGCGTGCCCTCGAGTTTGGCATCCATCACAAAATTGATCTGCTGTGAATCGTCAAAGACATATTCGTAGTCTCCCTCATCCACAAATTCGGCCTTTTTGATCTGTGCCTTGGCCTTGGCCGCCTGCTCCAGCTCCCACTCCTCGTGCTCTGTGACGAATCGCTCCTGGCCCAGCTCATCGCGCTCGACGTACCGCTTGTACAAAGCCTCTTCCTTCTTCTTCCGGTCGATCTTGCCCTTTTCCGTAATGTAGTCAGATGGCATCTGATAACCATCAAGGTGATCGTCGATCCGAAGCCGTTCCTCGGCCAGGCGAAGGACCTCCCGGTTGCGCGCGAACTCCTCCTTCTCCTTACGAGACAGATTCGGGTTCTCACGCAATTCCGTGGCCTCCTCTACAACCTGTCGTCGTAGCAGTGCTAACCGCTCTGTCTCGCGCTTCTTCAAGTATTCCTGTCGAGACCTTTCTCGCAGATCGGGCATCATCGAAGCCCGCGCGCTGGCATCATCGCCCAGCGCACGTCGCCGTGCAGCCTCGCCATCGCGTGTCCGATCCTCCACAATCTTCTTCGACTTGCTACTTTCCTTGGTAGCCAGTCGTTTGGCAAACTCGTCTCGTTCACGAAGATCTCGTTGGCGCTCGATCTCTTGCTTGGTCTTGGGGTCGACATCGATATCATCGGTGGGTAACGCGGGATTGGGAGACACGGAACCGTCGTCGAGTCGTGTGCGCTTCGAAGGGGATTCTTCGAATTCCTCCGGGTACATCTCCTCTTCGAGGATCTCTTCGTCACCCCATCGATCGTCGAAGTCCTGGGAGCCCTTCTTGCGGAGCTTCCTCGTCCGAGGCCTGTCACGGCTCTCTGCATCGCGACTCCGGTCCCGCTTTCGGCTGTCGTCCTTTTCCCCGCGACTCCGAGGCTCAGGGTCTCGTCTGCTGCTGCTCCTGTCCTTGTCGCTGTCTCTGTCCCGTCTCCTCCGTCGCTCTCGGTCTGCTTCGACATTGGTGGGTCCTAGCGATGGGACAGGTTCTGGCTGGTCTTCGCCCATGTCTACCAGACGGTACTTCTTTTTCGTAGATTCCTTGCTCGTCGCAGGTTTGGGGGCAGACGCGCTGGGCAGTGCGCCCTTGCCCATGCGGGCATGGAGCTCCCGAGCAAAGGCACCAATTTCGGCTGAGCTAGCATCTACGCCGTCCAGGAAAGACACAAGGGTATCTTGGAGAGAGGAGGTCGACTTGGCTGAGCTGGCGGTCGCGAGCACGAAATCGACGACGGTGGGCTCTGACGCGCCCGTGAGGCGGAGGAGATTGTCCGATACAAAAATCCTATTGTCCATTGTGCGTGATATGGACTATTATTATGGGAGGGGGAAATTGAAAGGTGGTTGTGTAGGGAGGAGCTTCTTCGTGGGGAGAGAGGTAAGGTGTGGTTGTCGTAAGCCGGGGTCTTAGAAGCAACGGCGCATGTTGCACAAAATGCAAAGGTCTGATAAACCAAGCTATCAAGGGAAAGGAGTTGTAAGTAGTAGGGTATGAAGTTTCGAGATTAAAGATATGTTGGAAGAGAAGTTGGAGAAGTTTGAAATGCCAAGAAATTCCACGGGTGGCAATCAGAAATATATCTCCCTATGTTGTTGGTATATATATGGCTGTATATTGTAACATTTTAAGTCAAACTACTGAATATAATATAGAATTGGAAGTTCTATAGTAATTCAAGGGATTCAACAGCAAGTTATAAGCAGCCGTAGACAAATAAATGTTTGGTGAATCAAAATAGAAATATTCTTCAGGTAATTTCAAGGTTTTATAGATATATAGATATATAGGCATCTAAGAAGACATCCGAAAATGAATACGATCTAATACATTACCGCGATGGAAGAGCCCGCATAAAAGACCTAACTGGTTGAATAACTGATAATAAACAGTTGGAATATGATCTACAATCGAAGAGGTTTGTAGGATATCGTTTCAATTCGTAATTCCACAATTGCTACACTGACATGGAACCCAGGTATTCAACCAAAGACACCAAACTAGCAGAGAAGATCACGCTCAAAGAAAATAGAGGGGTCATCACTGCCCAGAGGGCACACATTCATCATCAGAAAACGCAAAAGAAAAAAAAGCAAAGATAGCAAGTGATGTTTCCAAGTCAACCAGGTATGCCGTCCGACCAGATATCAGCCCTGGAAAGAATAATCGCCTGGGAGCAATTGATTCCAAGGACAAGATGATAAGAGATATGTTGGAACGAATACAGCAGAAAAGAGGCCTTGACCATTTCCAGAAGCAAAGCATCCTGCGAGGTTGGTACATTTCTGGCATCTCGTAACGCTAGGTATTGAATCGTACAAAGGAAAAAAAAAAAAAAAAAGAGATCCGTGAAACAAGGCGAAGAACCCTTCGCAAACTCCAGTCGTGGTATCCGTGAACTGCTCAAGGTAACGCCCAGATCCAAACCAGATGGATCGAAAACGCCCCAAAGCCTAGCCCGCAACAGAAAACCCCTGCCTCAACCGTTGAAGCAAGGGGTGGGGAGGGGGGATAATGTCGTGACATGAAAACATGGCATCAAAGATGGGACAAAAAAGAGAAATGCTCCCAGATTGAACTCCGGGAAGAGGTGACAAAAGAAAAAAGAAGGCCAAGAGAGAGAAGAAAAAAAA